GGGAGGGGTCTGGGGGGGCGGGGGGGATAATCCCATATGGGAAGGCTGGATAATCCAAACAAATGCAAATTTATTGAAACAACCACAGTAAAACGCGCTGGGGAGGAATTGGGGAATAAAGGGAAAAATAAGGAGAAGGGGGAGGGAGGGAAAAGAAAATGTAGAACAGCGAAATCCTTGGATATGCAGCCCATGGAGTTCACCAGGTCCCGTCCGGGGAGATTTTGGGCACCCCTGCCCCCTCAAAATCCCGGGGACAGGGGGATTTGGGAACATCGAGACGCCCAAAATCCTGGAGAAGAGGAATTGGGAATTTTCAGTTCCTCAAGTTTGGGTACAGGGGGGTTTGAGCATTCCCAAATCCCCAAAATCCCGGGGACAAGGGGGTTTAGGAACATCCAGAGCCCCAAAATCCTGGAAAAGAGGAATTGGGAATTTTCAGTTCCCCAAATTTTGGGTACAGCGAGGTTTGGGCACTCTCAGCCCACCCAAACTTTGTGTACAGGGGGGTTTGAGCACTCCCAGATCCCCAAAATCCCGTGGACAAGGGGGTTTAGGAACATCGAGAGCACCAAAATCCCTGGGAAAAGCGGATTTGGGAACATTGAGTTCCCCAAATTGTGGGTACGGGAGGTTTAGGCACTCCCAGACTCCAAAACTGCTGGAAAAAAAGGGATTTAGGCACTTCCAGAGACCCAAAAATCCTGGGAGGAAAGGGATTTAGGCACTTCCATTTCACCAAATTTTGTGTACAAGGGCGTCTGGCCACGTCCAGCCCTCCCCAAATCCCGGGCACAAGGGGGTTTAGGCGCTTCCAGAGCAGCGAAACTCCGGGAAAAGAGGATGTGAGAAACCCCAATTCCCCAAATTTTTTGTACATGGGGGTTTGGGCACTCCCAGATCCCCAAAATCACAGGGACAAGGAGATTTAGGAACATCCAGACCCCCAAAATGCCCGGGAAAAGCGGATTTGGGAACATCGAGTAGCCTAAATTGTGAGTACGGGGGGTTAGGCACACCCAGACTCCAAAAATCCTGGAAAAAAGGGATTTAGGCACTTCCAGAGACCCAAAAATCCTGGGAAAAAAGGGATTTAGGCACTTCCATTTCACCAAATTTTGTGTACAAGGGGGT